AAAGGTATTGACACAGTCACGTGACCAATCACATGTTGTCTTTTATTTCCAATGATGTCCTTATTGGTCAATAATTCAGCTTTCTCGTGGCCAATTATATTTGGTGTGCTAGATTATACCTTCCTTTGCATAAGTGTCAGCGCAAGATTTTGGCGACTTGCTGGCGGTTTGGCGAAAAAAATCAGAATTTCTAATTTGCAAATGACTAACACTGAGAAAATGTTCACCAGCGGCTTAGCAGATATGACTTCTGAGCACTAGTAGTTCAATCGGATTGAAACCCCTGCGATCGGGATTTGAATCCGGGATCGCTCCATGGATGCTTTCATGACTTTTTCATGTGCAATAAAAATGCGAACCAGTTTCCCTTACAAAGTCTTTCACAATGGTATCCCTTCACTTACTCACAGAGCCATTATTAGTTGTCGATTGATCTAATCTAACATTAAGCTACTGGAAAACTTTGTCCGTAACTTTATGATCGGTTCTCCTATGGAGCCATAAATAATATTTCATTTTTTGGGAACAAAGGAGAATTTTTTAAGTGTACATGCATTTATTTACAAAAACTATTAATAATGATATTTTAGAATAATGTACGCTTAAAATTTTTCAAGAAAATGACAAAGTTAACGAGAGACACAGGATATTAAGTAAATAAACTAAGTCATTAAAAAATGTGATGGTCGGGACACTAAGACAATTTTTATGTAAGCCAGTGATTTAGCAAAGGTTAGAGCCACTGAATGCTGTCTATTTCACTGGTTTTCGATTTTTGCAAATGAATTAGCTTCAGGGAAGAATTTTCACAATCTTCCTATATGTAACATAAAAGAAAGCCAATTTCTATCAAAACCTGTTCAGATCGGAAATATTTTTAAGGTAGAAATCATTTGTCTGATTAGCCATTATCAAGCGCCTACCCATGGGCAGGTTCTGGTTAAAGAAAAATGTGCATTGATGGTTAGAGAAAGAACAATGCTCCAAGGACTTTAGAAATTTTTTATGAGATTCTGGTTATGGAGGTACAGAAAAGTGTATAGAAGAGCTAAGAAAAACAGGAGTTGAAGATTATTTTTGTTACAACAACTTCATTACTCGTGATTACAATCAGTATCTATATATACTAAATCGCATATATCAAGACTACTGGTTATTAAATGAGTTATTTAATATGTACTATTATGAGCAAAGGTTACGTTTTCCCTGATGATATTAAAAATATACTCTTTTATCTAGGCACTAACGATAAATTTGCCTCACAACTCATTCGTTCTGCAAATATTGCGTATTTAGGACATAAAATGTGTGATTTTTAATGTAAATTACTTTTGTAAATGATTCTTAATTATGAAAAAAAGATATTAAAAATAAAATTTTAATTAATTTTCTATTAATATTTATGCCATTAATCTAATAAATAAAATATATCTCTAAAGCTGCATATTACATACTTCATATATCCTTTCTTAAATTGAATTAAAAATTTCATGAAACATTGTCAGAAATTTATAACTTTTCTCCATAAAACTAAAATGTGAAACTCTCAACAGTTTTATTGAATTCCGACTTGGCTGAAACATCTGTGCCAGGCATTAATTTTTATTCTTTAGCGCGATTGGCTCCTGCTAATTTTCTAAAAGTTTAATGGTAACCCTACAACTAAACTCTCTCAATAATCAAGCTCTGTCTTAGTGTATGCTCTGTTGACACGCGTTTAAAGGAAGAACACTTCAAAATTGCAGGTCGGAATAAACAGAATAAAATAAAAAACAGAACTATATGATTCATATTACTGTCTCACGTCCTCTATTTAGACAATTCACCAAATGTAAAAGACTCACGACAAAACATTTTATCATTAGTGCTTGTTAAAATGGCTCAGTTAAGTGTGTATCGCAGTGTGTATGTTTGGTGACAGCGTGATTTGCATTGTTTTGAGCTCCTTTTCATTCTTTTTTTTTTATTTCTGACATTCTCGATAAAGAGATTGGATTTGATTTTAAAAAGTGGTAAAGAGTTTTTTAGGATTGTATGACAACAAACGGTGCCAAGTGATTGGTGGTATAACGATTTTTTATCACCCGTTTCAAATACACGTAACAAGGAATCATTTAGTTTGAAATATAATAGCTTGTTTTGCTTGAAAGTAGAACAGCTTTAAACTGTGTAATGTTGAATGGATCCGTTTGGCATTGTTTAAATCATCGTCTGAGATTGGCACCATTTTGGGTTTTTTCATAATATCTTAGGCAACGGACATAAATAACCTAGAGAAAGAAATCTGTAATGGTGAGTTCGATAAGCTGGAAAAAATAATAAGTTTTACAAAAGCTTTAGCGGAAAATTCCACATAACACTCATTTCTCGTAAATCTGGAGATCTTTTTGATGAAAATCTTCACCTCATATTCCCAAAAGGTAAAAAAAAGTACGAAGCCTTTTCAATTAGAGTGAATTATTAAGAGTGAGGCGAAAGTTTCATTGAAGTCTAGTAATTAAGCTTTTCATTCAAAGAATGAATAACATACATAATTCAAAATGGATAGCTGAATAGGAATGAACTGTAAGAAAAAATATGATAAGAAAAGGGGGGAATATTAAAAAGAGGTAGCGAAAGTTGAAGCAATCAGAAGCTATATTCCTGTCACGCGATATTTTTGTCACAGTATATTACAATTAATGTGACGGAAAGGTCAATTATTTGATCGATAGAAATGATACCACGAATGCCGGATTTTGAAAAGAAATTTTATTTTTCTACTAAAATGTATATTTTCATTTAAAAAAGAAACTGAAAATACTGAAGGAGAACTAATGAACAGATACACGACTTACATTCTTAGGTCAATCCCTTCTTGCTTCAGAATACTAAAATATCGTCTGAGACATATGGTTTTGATTTTGAAATGGGTTGATTGAAGAAAAAAGTTCTGTTAATTTTGAACTAATCCCAGATAGTTACCCAAGACACGCCTATGTTCAACCGCTGTACCAAGTCAAACATCTTAGTATCCAGTTACAGAAAAAATACATTCAATCTAATTAGATGGAAAAATATGCGAGTATCAATATAGTTAAGAGCACTAATACAAATAAACTCCAGTCGTAAAATTTCATCCTGGATTTGGCATTAATTGAAAATACAAAATCTTAATGCATTTCCAAGAAATAATTGACACTGTCTTCAATAAAATATTCTATCCATTAAGCTATTCTATAATCCCAATTACCAAAAGAAGTGACGGAAAGTATATTTAATGCCACCTAGTGAAGGAAAGAAAAAAAAGAGGGAAATTAGAGACGATGTATATAAAAGTCTTTGATCACATTCGCTGCTTTAGGCCACGTGACCAGCTAAACAGTGCCTGATCACAGCCTCTTCTACAGCTCCGTCCAGTCTTGGCATTTTCTTGCAGGAAGCAATGGTAAAGTTTTCTCACCTCAGCTTATACCTCATCTGGAGGATATTATTTACGGACTTCCTCAGGTCCAATTCGGGATTCACTCAGGAATCTGGAAAAAGCAGGGACAGGAATCCCCGCTGAATGCCAGAATAACAGCAATAGTATCAAAGTATTACGGTTAAATAGAGAAAGAAAATCCCACAATAATTATCTGCTTCAGGATACGACGTCTTCCTGGAGTTATTCTACAGTTCGCATTTGCACACAGATCGGGCCTTCCAGTGATCAGCTGGAGTTGTTAAGATCGCTGAACGGTGGTAATTCGACTCAAACTGAAATCCCAGCAAAACGAGCTGGCTGCATGGGAGCTTTCGTCTTTTCCCTGTAGAACGTGGTTAGGAGCCAGTTTACCTAAGAACGTTCTCCACGAAGGAATGTTCTCCATGTTAGGAAGATAGCCATCACGTGCTTTACCATGATCAAATAAACTAAATCAAAACTCAGATATGAGAGAAACTGCGAAAACGCTCAAGCAGTCAGATCTTTAACCAAGATTTGATTCCGAGTTGAACTATTCCGAGATTCTCATTTATCCAGCAACTGACAGACTACAGCTTATGCATTCAAAATAAAATGAAAATGATTATGATATTTTGATGAACTTCGAAGGCTTTAAGGAAATGGAACTAAATTGTTTTTCGTAGAAATTTAAATCCATGAAAACATTACAAACAATGGCGATTTCAAAAAATTGTTATATAAAAATATTTCACGTAATATTCACTATGTTTACCGGTAAATTTCGTGTACTGCATCTACTCCATCTGCATATCTGTAGTGATTATGCATATTATTAACTTATTATGCATATTATTAACTCATAGGGTTACACTTGGACGGGGAATATTATTTTAATTCCACAACTCTATTTAAACAGAATTTTGAACACAAGGACACTCTCTTGTGCTGCAATTTCCACAACACGTGGTGATGCAAAATAAACGAAACAGTCGAAGTTATATCAAACGTTGAACAGTAGTCAAGGACTAGAAGGAAACAATACTCAAAGTTGGCTCACTTTAGCATCAGAATTGAAGTGCTGACAGCAAGAAATTGCAAAGCAGAATAATTACAACTATCAGAGTTGGCAGGAAACAAGTGATATAACATTCCTGCGAAGTTAGAAACTCTGTCTCAAATCCGTAAACTTTAGATTAAATGCTCACTATTAATTTGCTTTCGTGAGGAATACGGAAAGGAGAAGTTACATTAAAGACAGCAATTTTAAGGAACTGGTTAATTAACATAAGATTCTCTACAAACTTAAGCAATTCCTGATGTAACAAAACCCCGAAAACATAAATCCGACAAAAATTAGAGGAGAAAATTGTACAAATGGAGAAGTGTGTAAGAAACTGCTATATATTTATTTAATAAAGCTACATAATATTAATTCACCAGGAAAGTTGAAACACATTCCATGAGGTATTAAACAAGAGAACGACAGTGTGTAAGTGATGCAAATGAAAATTGAATATGCTTGGCTTTTTGTAAATAACTCATGAATTTGAAGAATGAAAAAAAATTGTCTTACATGCCCTTGTTTGTCCATTTCGTTGTTCGTGAGTTTCACTTTTTCGAAAGAGACAACTTGCTTTTTGAGCTGATCCCCCGTAAAAGGAGAATCTGGATGAAGATAGAGTCTTGACGGTGAAGGAGGATCGGCTTTTCCAGCCACAAGCCACGAGGACCGATGGTACGCATACCGATACCTCTTATTGTCAACTGGCACTATGTCCATCAGAACAGCATATTTGACGTGAGGATCTGCTCCAGAAAAAGAGACTCGTACTGTGGGAAACATCCGCCTATGGAGAGAGAAAACAAATATTAATCAAAAAATTAATTATTAAAAAGCAATTTGAAAGCTTTAACGTGAAACAAAACCTGACAGATTGATACCAGATATATTGAGAAATTTAAAGGCGTTGATACCTTATGATGCATATATAGTAAAACTATATGGTAAATCATAGGAACTTAAGCTATTGGCCGCTAATATTGCTTGCTTGTTTTACTGAATAAAACCAGTGTCCAAAGTTATACGTGTAAGAGAAGGGACGCAGATAGCCGTTCGCCGGTATTTGAACCCAGGTTGAACTAACAGTATTCAGACATTTTAGCCCTTCATTTGGCGCGGGTGCTCAGAGCATGCGCTTTCACCAGTTGCCAATTCAACCCTACCGCTGGTCACATTTTGCCAATAATATCATTTATTCCTTATGTGATAAGTCTGAGGACAGAAAATAGTTAAAAAGATGATTGGAATGTATTTGGTCTTAGTTTTAAAATAGGTTATTTGAACGAAGCATGCGAGATCTGCCTGCCTTGGAACTTGAAGGTCTTTCCTGCGTAAACTACTTGTAGTTCGTATTCATACTTTGGAAGAGAAAAAATAAGGAAAATTCAATGCAACCATCTCCGGTCAGTCATCATTTAGGCAAGGAGCCAATGACGAAAAGTTTAGAAATCTTATTCACTAGGCTATTAGTGGGCTCATCTTGGTTTATATCATATCTTCGGTATATCTCACAGTTCTTTGAAATGCAGATAAAACTTTTGCCTTATTTTTTGTAACGTATTATATGTTAATTACTACATTTAGTGAGAAACTCAAGCATAAATTATTGTTCAGGTTATGTAGATAGAAGAGATGACTTCACTTACGTCAAATTGTGAAGTTCTTTCATTCCGAGGAATTACTATTAAGTAAGACCTATAAGAAGCAAACTATAGCTCTAAGCAGCTCAGTAGGAAAGAGCAGTTGTTCACGAAAAAAAGGTCTTGGGTTTGAATTCTAAAGCTCAAGAATTTACAAGCGAATCGAAGTGAAAGCTTAGCAAAGAGAAAAATTATTATTATTTCGATTAATATGAATAAAACTGCAACTGATCTCTTATTCATTCTTCCAAAGCGATGTCAAATATTTACTGTCAAGTTCTGTGAAATGGTTCAGGATCATATTATGTTTAAAGAACATAATATTTTAATAATAATATACGACATAACAGAATAATACGCAACATAAGATTATAATAATATATACAACATAACTTTTCCATTTTTGAGGTATTCTGAAATTAGTTAGGTGACTGTTTATCAATGCCCTGTAGTGTTTCGTAGTTAGCGCGAGATAAGTCTATACATTGTTGGACTTGAGCTCGAGTGCCAGGTAAGGCTTGGGCGTTCGTGATTGTAATATATTTGCTTAAGCCAGGAATTAAAAATCTATCTTCTCAAATATAATCTTGAGGCTGATAACAGGTAAAAGTACTTCGATGCATCTATTGGAGTATTTTCAGTCAAAATTGAATAATATCAAAGGAACAAAAATCTCATGGTGTTAGTTTAAATAAAAATAATACTATTTTGATTGATCAATCCTTGAGGTATTCTGGAACGTAATTACGAAATTTCTTCAACTTAAGTCTATAGGGGCATCTGATAAAATTTAGATGTATGTCGTGGTAATTAAAGATAATAGCTGCCATAGATGAACTGCACTTCTTTTATACAGCTAAAATAACGACACGGAAGTCTAATATTCTCAGAAATCATGGGTCAAACCTAATGTCAAACTGAAGGAAACATGACAACCCCAATACAATTGTTGTTTCATGTCACCGATAAACAATTACAGATTGTATCTGAAAAGTAGCTCTTGCAGACAATCAAATAAAACATTCTAAACACTTTATTGTAAAGCTTGAAATTCAATATATGTTACTGCTTCCGCAATCTTGCATTACCACATAAGAAACATTTGTTAACTTACCAATTTTAAAATATATATTAAAGATGTAGAAAATAGCCGCAGGAGAATTGAGATTGAATGCTTTGGTCTCCTAGGAAATGCAAGAATAAATGTATGGATCATTTGCGTAAACGCAGGTCAAGAAGATCGAATATTATGAAGAATTGTGTTAATAAGTCAACATTTTACAAGTTCTTTATATATTTTAAGTAAGTTTCATTCGCAATAAAAGTATTTGCTATATTAATTGTGTATTTAGCGAACGTTTGAAATGTCTTTACATAAATAACAAGATACTGAATGTTTAACTAGAAATTTCCAGACTTAATTAGATATATTATTTCCAAGTAGTATTATTCAATTTGAAATTTTTATATTTTTTCTAATCCTATTTCAGCTCTTATACATTCTAGTAGTTTCCTCTGGTAACTGATGAGGAATAAAATACACGTAATATATAGCTGACAATATGTTAATCTTTCATTTAAATAAATGTTACGTTTATTTTAATTATATGTGTAAACACTTTTTATTATACAGAAAAAAGAATGTTTTTCCATTTATTACCTTTTCTATAAAAAAGTAAAACAATTTTTTAAGAAACTGAAAAAAATCAAGTAACGTGCTTATGAAATCCATCTCGTATACGATTCAAGTCTTTTTCATCACTGTTTCGAGTCATTAGGTTTATTTCTGAGCTAGAAGCAGAAAAAATCAGGGCGACCTCCCCGAGACTCGAACTTCGGATCTTCCGAAGCCAGTCCCACGTGACACGAGGAAAGGTAGGAAAGAGAGCGAAAATTTTAAGGGCGATTGAGAAGAAGTGCACTCGGTAACCAAATTTAGGTGGTGACCACATTTTAGTAAAATCGTCACTGTACAGAGATTTTAATTATTTTTGTAGCTAAAAATATGGTTAACTAATGACACTCTCCCCAAGATTCGAACTATGAAAACCTCTCGATGCTAAACGGTTGTGCTTCCAACCACACCAACCTTCCTACGCTTCCTACCTACAATGCGAGCATCTACAACTCGGAGAAGTGGCGAAAACTCCTTATAATCTCTCCCTACTTAAAAAGAGACTACGGAACGGGGGGGGCACAGTCGCAAAATACAGGGGGTAACAAAATATACTTTAGTTCGGTCACCACTCGGTCACCACTGCCCTTCGCATATGCCTCCAACTGCACCACAAAGCACGTATTAAAAAAGGAGAAATTTCCTTACAGTTACATCAAAGATTTTAAAAATTGGTGTTACTCAAACTGGAAACTATCGAGAACGTTCAGAAATGCTAAGCAAGCAACAATAATAATTTCTCTGAAATTATTATAAATTGTAAATCCAAATTAATTTTGGAAATAGATGCAATATTGGTAGATTTACCAGACATCCCTCTTTGACCTGATGACTGATGATGTGGTCCCTGTGTCCCAGCCAGTTTGTCAGTTTGTTTCGGTTATTTGATAAGATTTTAAACGTGTCGAATACACAAGAAACAGGGATTTGGCGTATTTGCCAAATCTCCTCTGCTCTCTCACTGTTGGCAGTCTAAATATTTTGTATCTAGATCTGATTACTTTTAATGTTGTCTAGATGCTTTCCCTTAAAAAGGATGACGGATTTTTTTTTTATATTTTGGATCTATCGGAAAACAGTTTTGGTATAGCTGAATCTTTTATTTGGATAAACAACAGTGAATTAACAAGGTCTGAAATTGCTAAGTTCACTTATTACAAACTCTTTATTATTCTTTGTGTTGAATTCTTTGTGTGTCACTGTTGTGTGATCTTAATAACTTCTTTATTTTAGATTTTTCAATTGTAGGTACTTATCCTAATAGGTTTAAGCTATTTTGTGAGTATTTTCTCAAAACTGCCCAGGTGTGGGCAAAAAATATTGCAGTAATTATTCGCATTTAAAATATATAGCTTCTATACTGGAGGAGCCCCTCAAGAACTTGAAAAGAAAAAGGATGACAAAACTATAATGAAAAAGGTATCAGGTTCAATGTTCCGCCTTACTTTCTTTGGGAACATTCAAAGACCTGACTCGGAACAGGGAGCTTACTAAAGCTATGTTCAATAAATGTGGGAAGTAGACAAGATACACAGGAAGGGTATACGAAACCCTTTATTTTTCACTCTTTACAATAATTTCCGGACTTCGGAATACAGAGACCAACCACTTATGGTCTGAACGTAAGAATATAAAAATATTAACTAAACTCTAACTTAACTTTGGAATAATAAACAAGGGCCTACGTGGAAGATTGGCCGTATATTAACAGGAAGCCGTATGTAGTACAGAGAACTGTTAACACTACAATACGTTTAAAAATTATCAAGAGGATTAAACCTCTGGCCTGGAAGGCAACCAGCAACCGATTAAAACTGCTAAGGCAAGCGCCTGCTTCTACTAACTCCTTCCTCTCTCTTGCTTGGCAAAAAGCCACAACTTAAGTACTTGGCGTTCGCCAGACAAATTTGCATAAATAAGTTAAAGCTTTTAATTCTGGCCGGAAGTAGAAAATAAGAAGTGATAATAAAGATTTAAAATAAAATAAACGTTAGTAAAACTTAAGATCCTTACAAAGGAAAGCATAGTAACTTGGAAAGTGGCACAGCTACATAAAAATATCCTTTCTTTTGGCAGATGAATAGTAATTGTGCTACTAAAAATTTTCAGAGTTCTTTTAAGAATCCGAAAACTTCGAAATAAGGCTTGCTTATGCACAGGACATCCATTATTACAATTCATACATTTGTATAAAATTAACATACTCTTATGCTAATGGCTCCACAACAAAAGGGGGATGTACCATCGAGACTCTTTACTCATTGCACCTTGGGAAGACAAAAGGTGTAAGTTTTCCTTTGCGGGTGCCATCACGCAAGAAAGTCTGTCTCCCTACCAAATTCTTCAAGATCTCAGTCGTTGCTGTTTTCAAGAGTTCTCTCCCTGTGCCACAATACGTGTGCGTGTTGCACGGAAGGGGATTCTTTCGGTCCTCGCTCACGCTCTGGCCGGTTGAGGGATGGCGTGATCACA